TTTAATCCAACTATACTTAAATGCCACTAGTTGTGTTTAATTACAAAATACTTTAATCCAAGATAAAGTTTAAGTTTAAGTAACTAAGTCTAATTCTAACATGAAATTTAATCAAGCTACACTTAATTGTTGCTATTCAGTTCACTAGGAACTATTTTAAACTATTTATACAGCTCCGTTCCTTTGGGTTACATTACAGTTGACTAACTTGAAATACTTTAAGTGATTCCAACTACGTCAAGTATGGATGGAATCTGATCCAACTACAGCCAGGTACAACTAGCTGAGACATAATTGTATGATGTAACCTTTTATACATAAGTCTTAGATGATCGTATCGTAAGTCCAGCATGTATTTGTTATTACTAAATTTCTCTTTGATGATAGATTCCCACATCATTAAAACAGGATATTTTACATTAATGCAGATATTTGAACACAAGATATACCTAATTTTTTGTAACCAAATGTAATTCGCCACTTCATAAGTGTTCCCCGTGTCAGCGGTCAGTTTACGGACTTACAAGCTAAAGTCCGAGGATCGATTCCCCCCCCTGGAGTACAGATAGCACATTGTGTAGCTTTACATTATAAGAAGACAACAACTTGATAAGCTGTAAAAATAGTGTTTTATGTTTGTCTTCAGTGAAACCTTTCTGAACTTTTCCTGCATAAACAGTAATATTATTGTAGGCAGTAGGAGTTGAGTACTCACCTTCTAACCTGTAATTTGATCTTCCGTAGCGGCTACCTAGTTTGACATTTGCATTTCGATCATGTCTGACAGATGGAATATCACCTACACTTTTGGATGCTATTGTTTTTTTGTTTGTTTGTTTTTAAGTTAAGCACAAAGCTACACAATGGGCTATCTGTGCTCTGCCCACCACGGGTATCGAAACCCGGATTCTAGCGTTGTAAGTCCGCAGACATACCGCTGTGCTACTGGGGGGCTGGATGCTATGACCATACATATTTTCCTTTATGAGTCAATAAATAATGACAAAGACCGGCAATGGACAAAATTTTCTATTTTCTTTTTAGGTCAGAATCTCATAATAGACATCTCGGTTTCTATACTAACCCCCATCATTGTTATATTGTGCTAAATTTGATCGCCTATATACAATTGATGTAATTTTTAGTATTAGAACTGTTTACTGATCTCTCTCTCTATATATATAAGAACCATGTGAAGTTAGAATGAAAGTGTGTTAAAACAGCTTAGTTGAATTAAGGGCTGTTCATTCAGTGTGAAATAAAAGTTTGTTGTTGGTGTTCTCATTTAATTACTGTCCACGTATTTGTTGTTTAATCTTTTGACTACTTGGTGGCGCTTTGTCCTTCCTTCTTTCCTATACAATTAACTTAATATCTGTAGAATAGGAGTACGAACAAATGTATCTAAATTTTACCTTATTCTTTGCAGACAAATAATAATAATAAAACAGGAAAAGTTACATGTTCTACCTATCATAAATGTATCGACAAGGAAATATGGCTTCTAAAATTGATTTTCTTACAAAAAAAGAGAAGAAGGGGAAAAACGCCTCTAGTTGGCGACTTTCCTGTCAAAAATGATACTTCTTTTGTGTGGTAGCTAGTGTGATTGAAATACCCGAAAGCGAATGATTCCCAGGATTCTCAGAAGTGACTAATCATTAGAACACTTTTTTTTTTACTTCTGTATTAAGCTATAAGCGTATTTATGGAAAACTGTGAAATGAGATAATTGTCCGTTCAAATACATCGGCTCGGCATGGCCAGTTGGTTAGGGCGCTCGACTCGCAATCTGAGGGTCGCGGGTTCGAATCCCCGTCACACCAAGCATGCTCGCCCTTTCAGCCGTGGGGGTGTTATAATGTGACGGTCAATCCCACTATTCGTTAGTAAAAGAGTAGCCCAAGAGTTGGCGGTGGGTGGTGATCACTAGCTGCCTTCCCTCTAGTCTTACACTGCTAAATTAGGGACGGCTAGCGCAGATAGCCCTCGTGTAGCTTTGCGCGAAATTCAAAAAACAAACAAACAAAAACAATCAAATACATCCTCATCTTCCCGTAATCTGATGTTAGTTGTAAGTCTGTTAATCTGGTCTTGCATATAAGAATAAAAAAACAGTGATGTTTTCTTTCGAATGTATTTCATGTTTTGTTGTTTTTTCTCTCGAAAACCTACCGCTGAGCTTCTTGGGGGAGGGGGGGCGAATGATTTTGTTTGTTTGTTTGGAATCAAGCACAAAGCTACACAATGGGCTATCTGTGCTCTGCCCACCACGAGTATCGAAACCCGGTTTTTAGCGTTGTAAGTCCGCACACATACCGCTGTGCCACTGGGGGGCGGGAGCGAATGATAATGAAAAATACGAAAGACAATCGTTGTGTGTATTTTGCTAATACACATCTGACCAAAGTTTCTGTATTAAATATTTTCCAACATAGATATAGCTTTTAGTTGCCTATTCTTTTCTTCTTTTTTTTTATTAACAAACCAGAAGTATTTAAAACGACAAGAAACCGATTATACATTGATATATCCTAGGGAAATATTTTATTACAACTATTTCCCTTTGATACAAGACCTCTTAATATATCCGTATTTGGAGTTTTCTCAACACAAGTATCAAAATGTTCATAACTTCAAAAGAAACAGGAAATTTAATTACGATTTCCAGCTTAAGACCACAACTGCATATGTGCGCCACGACTCACAGTTTTGAACTCGTTTTAAGTAGACTTGTTGATAGTCAATAGACGAGTTCATTACTCTGATATAACGTTGATGCCTTAAAAGCAGTACATATATTTTGTAAAAGAGTCTTTGTTTCCCTGTATGCAATTGTACGATAGTTTTCACGCTAGCACACGTTCTTTGATAGATGGTGCAATTCATTCGCTAGGCAAGCATAAATTTCGAACAACTCAACCATGAGTTTCACGTGGGAAATAAACGTTTTCTTTTAGTACTGATAATTTAATTACTGGGTTAAAAAAGTAACAGCTTTCACAAGCCTTTGCTTGGATGCATTTAATCCTGTTTAAGTGGAGTTGAAAGGTATTAGTTTAACGTAAAATGTTTGCGTGATAGTTTCTGAGGTTTTCGTCTCCTTAATCGTTTAAAAATTAAAATGTACATAAATAATTGTTTGGTTTCGATAAAAATTGGTCTGGTTTTCTACTATTTCAGGCTGATGCAAAATTAGTTTTCGACGTAGTTGCCCGTATGGAAGATACAGAACCATTTTCTGACGAGCTGCTTAGCGCTATGAAGAGGTTATGGACAGACACAGGAGTGCAAGAATGCTTCTCTCGTTCAAATGAATACCAGCTAAATGATAGCGCCAAATAGTGAGTAGATGTGACAAATAATATATCGTGAATATTTGCTAAATACAGTAATATCTAAACGGGAAGTTCATAAAAAACCAAGAAACAGTTTGTGGACCACATTCAATAATCTACAAAGTAAGAGGGAGAAGAAATTTAAAAAGTGCTAAACTCAGCAATAAAAAAAATACTAGAAATTGAAGCTAAAAAAAAAGTTGAGTGAGTGAGCTGAATTCGTAATTTCCTCAAGATAGTGAGTCGAATTCAAGTCTACGAAATAATGATTGACTGAGATAAATGTAGTAATCTCTAGAAATGATAAGTAGAAAATTTAACTAAAAAATACTAAATGAATGAATATAAAGATGAAGATACTTTTATTGTGAAAAAAATTAAGCCACACTTTCGTCAGTAGCTCCATTCCGTTTGCTTAATGTCCCGGCATGGCCAGGTGGTTAGGGAGCTCGACTCGCAATCTGCGGGTCGCGGGTTCGAATCCCCGTCACACCAAACATGCTCGCCCTATCAGCCGTGGGGGCGTTATAATGTAACGGTCAATCCCACTATTCGTTGGTAAAAGAGTAGCCCAAGACTTGGCGGTGGGTGGTGATGACTAGCTACCTTCCCTCTAGTATTACACTGCTAAATTAGGGACGGCTAGCCCTCGTATAGCTTTGCGCGAAATTCAAAACAAACTTTTACTTAATTACCCGGGCTCTGTTGGACCCACTCGTACATACACTGAGTGGTCACAAGTAAATAGACACCTAATTTTTTTGTCATTTAACTGATTTATGCTAACTAATTTGTGTTCACAGACCACTATATAAATGAAAATGGTCCGCACACTAATTATCGTGTGCTACAACATGCCTAGAACTCAAGGTTCTCTCGAATTGTCAGATTTTTGTTAGAGGAAGGTCAAGCAGATGGTGGAATAAGTCAGCGGCAAATTTCGCAGAATTTGGGAATCCCGCCTTCGACAGTCAACAGAATCATCGTGCAGTTCAGGAAACACGGCAAGGAAACAACTGAGTAGCGTCTGGGTCATCCTGGTCCATCGAAGAGGACAAAAAGGGCTGTCGAAATGGATCCCAGATTAACGACTGCAGAAGTGGCCAAAGTTGGTGGGATGAGCCTGAAATCTGTTCAAAGGATTCTCCACAGATTGGTTTATCGTTGCAGAGCAGCTAGACGGAAGCCCTTATTAAGACCTGCCAACATAGTCAGACGAAAGAAGTGGACAAGTGATATGATGACCAAGCCTCTGGACTTTTGGAAGACCGTATTGTTCTCAGACAAACCAAGATTCGCTCAATGTTCGGACAGTGGAAGGATATGGGTCTGGAGAATGCCAAGAGTTTTGGCTCAACAGATTGCAGCCAACTGTGAAGCATGGTGGTTTCAGCGGGATGGTTTGGGGAGCTGTTTGGGTTGGTGGAAGATCGAGCTTAGTGGAGTGCGTTGGCAACATAAAATTTGCGACAAGTCAAGAAACAACCAAAAAAAACCAACTTCGAAGAGCAATCTACTCCAAGTTTTGAAGCAAGAGTAAACGAAAATCCCACAATCTAAAACTGACGAGATGATTCTCACGATGCCCCAAAGGATCAACGAACTCCACGAAGCAAAAGGAAGATCTACTAGATATTAATTAAATTATAAATATATATCAATTCATGTGAATATGACTGAAAAATTTAATTTTTTTCTGAAAAGGTGATGTCTATTTACTTGTGACCACGCTGTGTATATATTGTGTTTCTTCCTTTCATCAAGCAAGTACGTTATTTATAATTATAAGATTATTAATATTTAAATAGTTTAATCGTTTTTTTAAAATCAATACTTTTCAATAATATTTGCATTAATATACAAACCAAAATAGGGCTGGGCGTAAGTTCAGGGATTAAACCCAAATTTTAGTAGTACAAGACTTTAAGCTTACCGTTGAGTTACCGGGAGGCAATCATCCTAAAAATTGAGGCTTTTTTTTGTTTTGTTTTTTAACTACCGAAAGCGTTGAAATTAATACTTTAAAAAATTTTGGACTTTATGTCACTTTTTGAACAGTTTCCAAGAAAAGCGTACACGTATTCTAGTCAAATTGTTGATCGTATTTCTATAAATAAACTTCTTTTCTATACATCTTACCGATCCTGCTGATTAATACAGTAGCGACAGAAATGTGTAGCTCTGTTCTCTGGTGAATCGTAAACTTATCACTAATGTAACGTAACATAAATATTTACTTTTTTACTTAAAGAAATTATGTCGTGAATTGACGTTATTTCAAGCGTTTTGTTTTCATTTGCAGCTCTGCAATGTAATTAAAAATTGTAATTGGTTGATGCTGTCTGTAATTCCAATTCCACGTGTTTTATTTAGATTGGCTGATATACGCTACTTATATCGTAGAAATAGTCAAGCGTAAAATGAGTTGATTGTACATAGCATAAGTTAAAAATAGCTTTAAAATAATTTTTTCTTTAATTTTAAGGAATTAACATTTTTCAGCATATAGATTATTAATAGGTATTGTATAGGTTATTAACGAGCGTCCTTTTTGAAGCAATGTCAGCGAGTTCTTTAATTACAGACTCGTTAATTTGTTTCAGACATTGTGTAAGAAAATTAATATGTTAATCCTAATACAGGCTGTACGCTATAGTTTTTTTTCTCTTGATTGAATGAATGAAATAGATTTAAATAATTTTTAACAATAAATAAATTTATTGTTCCTCTCCTGCGTCCAAAAAATTCCAAATAAATTTTATTATTAATCACTACCAATAAACACAGCGGATGTAGAAAATATTATTACACTTCACCAATAAGCTTCATTCAACCAGGCATCAATTAGCAAAGAACTACGTAGCTCTTTAGAAAGAACCTTTAATATTTAATGCCAAGAGTAATCGTAGCTCACTATCATTCTACACTGTAGTTCAACAGGAAATTTAACTAGCAAGGATCGAGAAAGCAAAGAAAGAATATGAAGGTTGTTATGCTGACTATACGGTAGTGGAACACGACATATTTAGGATGTCTCTCGGATAGTTTCAGGGAGGGAGATATGTGATCCGATGGAAGTACTGACATTAAGTGATGAATTAACTGATGGCTAATGATGAATCGCGTTGTTAGGTGCTAGTGAGCTACATCAAGTTACATTGCATCATATCGAATAATTTAATATTTTTGCCTCTTACAAAATTCAGAGTAAAGAACTGACAACAAACTGGGGGAAATCACTAATTTTCTATGTAAAATAAACAGGTAATCACAGCAACAATTAATGGGGTTACGTTTTACCTTTTTTTATTTAATTCGTATTACCAGAGTTCCAAAATGCCAGCGATGTGTTTAGGGATTGCTCGGAGATGGCTACATTGAGTGTACCAAAACTAAATATAACGGGCATACAAAGACCTTGGTGGTACTTAGAGGAATCTGCTTCCAAATGTTTTGGTCCTCTTTCTGCGGCCCCCTCAGGGGCACAGAGGTATGTATTATGCGGACTTACAACGCTAGAAACGGTGTTTCGATACTCGTGGTGGGCAGAGCACAGATAGCCGTTTGTGTAACTTTGTGTTTAACTACAAACAAACAAAATCCTTTCAACAATTCAATTCAACTTAACTACAAAAAAAGAAATGAAGGAATGCTTTGAGCGCAAACTCATTGAAAGCGTGTGATGCATTTTAATGACTCCCACTTTACCGTTTAAGGATGGTAGAGTAGACATGTGGAAAACATCAAATGAGTCTCTTAACGTTGATTTTTTATTATAAATTTAGGGAAATTTTCTATCGTTACTCAGGATTTACTATAAGAATTTGAAAAACTATTTGCACATTCTAACTGTCATGTGCTATTTGTAGTATATATTTATTTCGGTATTGTAAAAAGTTCTTAGAAAGAAAGTTTAATATGTTGCTGAAAAAAAACAAAAGAAAAAACAAGTGTAATTTTTAAGAAACAAAAACAACTTTATGATTGGACGGACAACTCAGTTTAACCAATAAACGTCAGCTTTATCCTGGTTTCTTGGAGATTTTACTTCTTTTACTACATGCATAATATTGCAGTTAAAGATCATTTTTCGTGGAGAACTCGCTAAAAAAGAAGTATCTTTTTTTCTAAAACTAGGTCGTTTCCGCTATCTAAGCACCTATCTAACGTGCGTACATCGAGTTACTTCCTTTAGGATCTTCACAACTCTGAGATCACGTGACTCAACTTGGGGCGCAGACGTCACTTTGACAGAATCGCGAACTGAGCTTTTGATGCCACGCCCAGAATCATGTTGAGATGGTTACCATGACAACGAAACTCTCTTGGATTGCCCGGGAGTATAGATTTTACGATACTGATGAAATATTGAAGAGTTTCTCTTGGCAGAGCTCAAGTTTTCTTTATTCAGCATTGGGATGTTTATGGACATCAATATTTTTTTTTTGTCGAGATGTAATATACGTTATTGTTGCAGAAAGACCAAGCTGCCTGACCCATTTTATGGCACAATGTATATACAAGTTACAATACTAATTACAGCGTAAGTAAAAGATTTATGCAAATGAAGTAAATATTATAAAGAACCTCCGTTATTTCGTTGTTATTTTTTATGTTGTAACTTTTTGAGCCACTCAATCTCAGTGGTCCCCTGTTGAGTCAGCGGTAAGTTTACGGACTTATAACACTGAAATCCGTGGTTCGATTCTTCGCTGTGGACAGACTGCAGATAGCTCATTGTGTAGCTTTGAACTAAGAGAACAAAATCGGCAATAACATATCAAGTCACCGAATTAAACTACATTTATTCCAGTCTTGTCTACCATCCTATGTAAGAAATAAAATATAAAATTACGCGCGCGCACCACACACATTATCTTTTTTTTTCTGCTTCGTTATTTCCTTTATGTAATAGACTAACTACACAATATGAAATGCAGTCCATCAAATACGACTCTCCTGTCTGATTAAGTACAAGGTCACATAAAAATCGTGTATACAAACTT